CTAGTTTCTATATCTTGCCTTGGGAGAGAAAGAGGAGCGGGAGACTGGAGGGTAGGGGAAAGTCATAGAGAAACTTTGCTTTGGAGGCCCTGCCAACGTGTCCTTCACCTCAAGTACTCAGGATGTAAAAGCACCATACTTTGTGATACTATCCATCCTCTTTTTTTTTTTTTTTTTTTTTCTGAGACGGAGTATTGCTGTCGCTCAGGCTGAAGTGCAGTTGCACAATCTCAGCTCACTGCATCCTCTGCCTCCCAGGTTCAAGCAATTCTCATGCCTCAGCCTCCTGAGTGGCTGAAACTACAGGGGCCTGCCACCGCCACACCTGGTTAATTTTTGTATTTTTGGTAGAGACAGAGTTTTACCATGTTGGCCAGGCTGGTTGCATTTTTAAACTTTTAAATCTGAAAAGAGTCTCGCTCTGTCGTCCAGGCTGCAGTGCAGCAGTGCAATCTCCGGTCCTGGGTTCAAACCATTCTCCTGCCTCAGCCTCCTGAGTAGCTAGGATTACAGGCGCATGTCATCATGCCTGGCTAATTTTTGTAGTTTTAGTAGAGACAGGGTTTCTTTCGTCATGTTGGCCAGGCTTGTCTCTAACTCCTGATGTCAGGTGATTTGCCCATCTCGGCCTCCCAAAATGCTGGGATTACAAGCATGAGCCACTGTGCCTGGGGGATACTATCTTTTGAGCCCCAACAATAGGAAAACAGTTTCTCTATTCCTTTCCTTATTTCTTATAGGCAAATAAATGCAAGAATATTCACCAAGATCTTTAGTCATACAAAAATGAAGTGTCAGATACATTATAAATAATTTATTTATAGGTCTATGCTTATATAAATTGCTTTAACAGTCATTAGAGCATTATATGGGCTGAGATTTTAATACTATTTCCTTGCGAAGACTTTAAGTTTTAATTCCTGTATATAATCTATGCGTGAAATACTATCAAAATACATTGCAGGGAGTGGTACATTTTGGACAGAGTTCCACATAATCTTATTCCTACACCTAACCCATTGTTTCTGCATATATTCCCTGAGAAAGAATATGGATGACTTTTAGTGGCAATTATATACTTTTCTTTAATTTTCATCCGGACAGACTAAACATGAAATGGCATCTATTCTTGAAAGGCAAGGTCTAAACCAAATGGTAAGACAAGCTGGATCGTGTTCCCCTTCTTCCTTCAGCAGAGTCACTCTTAATTTTCCAGAGAACATCCTTTTCTCCCACTCGTCCTTTTTCCCGGAAGTCAAGGTCTCCTACTAAAGTGCACCTTCTTGCCTGACAACTTCACTCCCCAGCTCCACCAATCTCCTATTAAACCTTGCAAAGTTCAGAATTCTATTTCCTGATACCATTTCTTTCTTCTGGCTTATACTGAGTAATCACAGATTATTCCTACCCTAAAGTGTAAGCAAGCCCTTTAGCCTATCTTTTCCCTTTAGACTTTATTTTGAAAAATATCAAGCTGGAGAAAAAAAGAAATTGCTGGTTGGGAGTGGTGGCTCATGCCGGTAATCCCTGTACTTTGGGAGGCCGATCTCGGCTCACTGCAACCTCCACCTCCTGGGTTCAAGCGATTCTCCTGCCTCAGCCTCCCCAATAGCTAGGACTACAGGCACGTGCCATCATGACCAGCTAATTTTTTTTGTATTTTTAGTAGAGACGGGGTTTCACTATGTTGGCCAAGCTGGTCTTGAAGTCCTGACCTCATGATCCACCCGCATCGGCCTCCCAAAGTGCTGGGATTGCAGGAGTGAGCCACCACGCTCGGCTGAAAGTGCATATATTCTAACTGATTCCAAGGTTCTCTCTGAGAGCTGGTAACAACAGAAAATTTCTTTCTTTGCTTACATTTTTACAACCGTGTATTTTTCGGAAAATTTCATTGAAGTTTTTTCTTTTTAAAACTCCATTTAAAAGGAAACAACGGCGCAGTGGCTCACGCCTGTAATCCCAGTACTTTGAGACGCTGAGGTGGGAGGACTGGCCAGGAAGCCAGGAGTTCGAGGCTGCTGTGAGCAGTGGGAGTGCCAGGACACTCCAGCGTGGGCAACAGAGCGAGACTCTGTCTTAATAAACAAATAAACAAACGCCGTAAACATTCCGAACTGCTTTGTTTTCCCATTGGTGAAATCTGTAAACATGTCATGGAAACTGGAATCTTTATTCTGCTCCTGTCCTTCTGCTGGTGGAGTAGGATTTTACCGCTGGTTCCACCTAGGCGTAGAGCTGTGTCTGCAAACAAAAATTAGGCAAGACCGAAAAAAAGTTAATGTTCTTAAAAGATGCAAGTGGAGCCCGAAAATAGTTAAATTCTTGGCCTAGGAAGGCATCCTTTAATGCCCAAGTGTCCGGGTTAGAGCAAACAGAGAGGCTGCGGCCAGAATCTCCAAGACCCGAGGTGGTGCAGGCGGTAGCCGCCGCTCACAGCCCAGGTCCTCTGGGCCGACACGCCCCTCCCACCACCTCAACCAATCGGGGCTTGAGGGGGCGGGGAGCGGGGCAGCCGGAGGCGGGGCAGACGCAGGAGGGGGTGTGTCTAGGGCGGGGCCTGGCAGGTCCCAGAAGGTGGCTATTTTCGCTGCCAGCGGCGTCCCAGCCCAGGTGGAGAGGCCGGGCTGGCCGGGGCTTTGACCTCTGGCGTCAGGAAATGGCGGCGGGGGGCAGGATGGAAGACGTGAGTGCGCGGAGGCTGCGCGCGGCTGCCGGTCCCGGAATCCTCTTTTTCCTGTGTTGAGGCGCACTGGGCGGAGGCTGAGGGATGGAAACCTCCTTTGGCAAGTGCGGCCACGGCCGTAGGGGGCGCCGCCTGTGCCGGGAGGCCTGGGCGCGGGGCTGTGGGAGGGCGCCGGGCGGCCGTGGAATCTGCCACACGCCGGGTCGGGGCTAATTTTCCCGGTGGAAACTGGGGCGGGCTCCCGGGCGGTGGGCGCGCGGCTCCAAGGGTCCCAGTCTGGCGCCCAGCCCACGTGCATGGCGCGTCTTTGGTCCCGGAACTGGTAGCTTCACGTGATGTGCGCCTGGCCTGACAGCCCTTCCTCCCCGCGAGTCTCGGGGCCCCGGGCCGCTGGGTTCCGTTCGGACGCCCCAGGGGCGCAGCGGGGCCAATCTCCCTTCCTGGCGGGGTCCCTTGCCTTGGCTGTAGAGGCTGTGGACCTGGAGTGACAGCGATGCTCGGGCCTGGCGCCAGCGTCCTGCGCACAGACCTGTCGCTATCATCGCCAGGAAACCCACACGAGAGAAAAACAGTGTCATGTGCTGTTTTGAATCTAGCATAGTAGGAATGTAAAGGTTTTTAAATCTTTGATAGATTCAAACCAGGTTACCAAAAACAAAAAAACAAACAAACAAACAAACAAAAAACCAACCAGTGGCCCAGTTTACAGCATGTGTGATACAGAATGATAGCATAATTACAAAAATCTTATTTCTTTGCTTAAGTATCATAAGACTTTTTTAGAAGAAACATGTATATATGTCCAGAATTAACTGGATTTTCTATTGGAAAGTAATAAAACTTGCTTTTTAAGAAATGCAAAGTTGACGGTTACATTAAAGTACTAATTTGGGTTAATAAATTAGTAGGAATATTACTGTGATCCTACTGTATGAAGTGCATTAGGAAAAGAAAGAGAAACATGAAACAGTTCCATCGCTATGGTAGCAGTGACCATAGTTAAATAATCTTGATGAAAGAAAAGCCAAACATTTCTAATGAGACTAAAATTTTCTATTTTTTCCAGTTGAGAAAATGGAAAATTAACTGTAAGACCTGTAAGTAGACTTGAGACTCATATATATTTAAAGCAAAATCCATTGTTTCTGAGTTTTTAAGGGTGAACTTCATGAGCTGACAGTATACGGAAAAAAAAATGAATAGGTAAGGAAAATGAGAGACTCTTAGAAAAACCACGCAGTAAGTGCTTCTTGGTTGATACTGAGCTGCTCTAGGGTTCTTGGATCTGTAGCATTTAGCTTTAGGATGCATACGGTATTAGAAATCTGCTTCATCAAACACGGAAGAAGGGAGCAGTCTGGGAGCCCCATGTTGGTAATCCCAGCACTTTGGGAGGCAGAAGCAGGCAGATCACCCAAGGTCAGGAGTTTGAGACTAGCTTGGCCAACATGGTAAAACCCTGTCTCTACTAAAAATACAAAAATTAGCCAGGCGTGGTGGTGGGGGCCTCTAATCCCAGCTACTCGGGAGGCTGAGGCAGGAGAATCGCTTGACCCCAGAAGGCTGACGTTGCAGTGAGCCAAGATCGTGCCACTGCCCACCAGCCTGGGCGACAGAGTGAGACTCCATCTCAAAAATAAAAATAAAAAATAAAAAGAAATAAAAAATAATTAGAGATTAATGTTTTAATACCAACCACATATTGAAGTCGCTTTAGATCTGACGAAATTGCCTGCTTTTGGTATTTTGTAGACATGATTTCTAGCCTTCAGTAAAAAGCTAAAAACTGTGGACCATGCTTTGGGTGCAGACACTTAAATGAGTTGAATGAAAGACTTTGTGTTAGTAAGGATTCATTGTTTCCAAGCCGTAAAACCAACTCTGGCTATTAAAAAAAGTGTTTATTTGAAGGGCTATAGGGTGAGTAAATGCCAAGACCTCTGAAAGGACCCAAGCAAAGGCATCTCAAGGGATTGAAGGAAGCAACAGGAGTTCTTTCAGGGTCAACCACAGAATGAATCTGCCTAAACCATGATCTTTCCTTTCTTCTTTTGAGACAGAGCCTTGCTTTGTTGCCCAGGCTGGAGTGTAGTGGTGCAGTCTCGACTCATTGCAACCTCTGCCTCCCAGGTTCAAGCAATTCTCCTGCTCAGCCTCCTGAGTAGCTGGGATTACAGGCATGCACCACCAAACCCGGCTAATTTTTGTATTTTTAGTAGAGATGGGGTTTAACCATGTTGGTCAGACTGGTCTCAAATTCCTGACCTTGTGATCCGCCCTCCTCAGCCTCCTAAAGTGCTGGATTACAGGCGTGAGCTACCATGCCTGGCGATCTTTCTTTTACTGCTCACGGAGAGAGTTGGATTTACCCAACTGTTTTTTTGTTCCATGACCACTTCTAGGCCAGAGGAGGAGGAAGGGTACTGAAGAATGTTTCCACTAAGACAACGCAGAAGTAGACAGTGGGTCCTCAAAGGAAATAGTGTTATTGTCACAAAAGAAGAGGGAAGAGATGCCATGTGGGCAAAAACATATTCTACAGGTGGTAATATAGTTAACAATGGAAATGAAAAAATTATTTGGATTCAAGAGTCCTCTTTCCCTCACCTTCACTTGCAGATGGTGAGTTAATAGAATGGGTGCTGTTTGTATGGTTATGCTGCATATTTCCTATAGGATTCATCGGAAAGTAAATAAGTGACATAGAGAAGAACCATATTATAGTCCCCAACCCCTTCACTATAGTTAGAAAAAACAAGATACATACATAAAAAGGAAAATGTAAGAAATACTCCAAGTAACTATTATGGGCAATATGTTTAATAGGAGTTTAAAGCAGAAGGAAAACACTTAGCAGGGCAAGTTTTATAGAGAACATAAACTTGGTTGGGACCTTGAAAGATGCATAGAATTCTGAAAAAGGCAAGAGAGGATCTTTGTAGGGATCTATAGAAAGCTTTTTTTTTTTTTTTTTTTGAGACGGAGTTTCGCTCTTGTTACCCAGGCTGGAGTGCAATGGCGCGATCTCGGCTCACCGCAACCTCCGCCTCCTGGGCTCAGGCAATTCTCCTGCCTCAGCCTCCTAATTAGCTGGGATTACAGGCATGCGCCACCACGCCCAGCTAGTTTTTTTTTTGTATTTTTAGTAGAGACGGGGTTTCACATGTTGACCAGGATGGTCTCGATCTCTCGACCTTGTGATCCACCCGCCTCGGCCTCCCAAAGTGCTGGGATTACAGGCTTGAGCCACCACGCCCGGCCGTATAGAAAGCTTATTTAGACTAGAGAAGGTGCATGAAAGTGACACAGTAGGAGATAAATAAAGTAGATTATTGTCTTATAGTGAAGGTTTCGATGCTAGCTTTGTTGAAATTTCCCAGGTTTGGCTAGATGTAGTGGCTCATGCCTGTAATCCCAGCACTTTGGGAGGCTGAGGTAGGTAGGTCACTTGAGGTAAGGAGTTTGAGACCAGCCTGGCCAACATGGCAAAACCTCGTATCTACTAGAAATACAAAAATTAGCTGGGCCTGGTGGCACGTGCCTGTAAGCCCAGCTATTCGGGAGGCTGAGGCAGGAGAATTGCTTGAACCTGGGAGGCAGAGATTGCAGTGAGCCCAAATCACACCATTGCACTCCAGCCTGGGCAACAAGAGGGAACCTCTGTCTCAAAAAAAAAAAAAAAAAAAAAAGGCAGTGGCTCATGCCTGTAATCCCAACACCCCAACACTTTGGGAGGCCAAGGTGGGTAGATTGCCTGAGCCCAGGAGTTCAAGACCAGCCTGGGCAACATGGTGAAACCCTGTCTCTACTAAAATGCAAAAAATTAGCTGGGCATGGTGACGTGCACCTGTAGTCCCAGGTACTTGGGAGGCTGGAGCAGGAGGATTGCTTGAACCTGGGAGGCAGAGGTTGCAGTGAACCGAGATGGTGCCACTGCACTCCAGACTGGGCAACCGAGTGAGACTCCATCTCAAAAAAAAAAAAAAAAAGGGAAAAAATTTTCCCATGTCTGAAGCATACAAGAAGTTGGGCAGCCTTTCATTCTCTAAACACTCATAGTATTAAATACAGCATCTGCTATGTGTTAAGTGTTAAAGATACAAAGAACATAATATAACAGTCTCTGCCCTTGTAAAGCACATTTTATTCTGACAATTTCAATACCATGTGCTTAGTATTGTATGTTATAATACAGGTGTAAGAGAGTTTAGTAGGGACTTCCATTCCCAGGCAACGTGGAGTAACCGTGAATAGATGTACCATTGTGTCTGAAACAACCAAAAAACTAGATATAAGATACAACACTTTGTGAGATATTGGACATCAGACAACAAAGGGTAGCAGTCTCAGAAATGGGAAACAAATGCTGTGAACCCCATCACTGCCCCGGCTTATTGCCTTGAAAGAGTGCAGGCTGTGACAAGGAACGGGGAAACCAGGCAGAGCCCAGCAGATTTCTGAGTTGGCAAGATGGAGTTGAGGATCTGGGAGACAGAGGCAACTAGAGTTCCCAAGACAGAGCACCCAGAGAGGAGAGAGCTACAAAGAGGGAGAACTCTGAAGATTGCATGGGGATCCCCCCAGGCGTCCAGTAGAGTGCTAATCAGGGCATGAGGAAGCTCTTGGAGGCCTCGAAAAGAACCACCTTAAAGGACTAGAAGGAACAGTTTCTCTATACAGGGCCAAGAATACTGCCTATTTCACCTACCAGCCAGACAAAAACCCCGTAATTCACAGAAGATGCAGGTAAAGTACTCAGAAAGGTCTTGTCTCAGTAATGGAGTAGAATTAGCCCTAGATGAAGCCCACCTAATTTCTTAACGGCAAGACCAAAAAGATCAGACTGTTTCTAAGTGACTTCGCTGTACTCCAGAACAAAGTTTAAGAATATAGGAATACAGAAAATGTCCAGCGCCCACAGAGGTAAAATTGGAAATATCTGGCATTCAATAACAAATTATAAGGCATGTAAAGAGGCAGGAAAATATGAGCTGTACTGAGTCCATTGAAACTGATTCAGACATGACATATGCTAGAAATAGCATATGGAGCCGGGCGCAGTGGCTCAAGCCTGTAATCCCAGCACTTTGGGAGGCCGAGGCGGGTGGATCACGAGGTCAAGAGATCGAGACCGTCCTGGTCAACATGGTGAAACCCCGTCTCTACTAAAAATACAAAGAATGAACTGGGCATGGTGGCGCGTGCCTGTAGTCCCAGCTACTAGGGAGGCTGAGGCAGGAGAATTGCTTGAACCCAGGAGGCGGAGGTTGCGGTGAGCCGAGATCGCGCCATTGCACTCCAGCCTGGGTAACAAGAGCGAAACTCCATCTCAAAAAAAAAAAAAAAAAAAAAAAACCACAAAAAAGACCAGCCTTGGCAACATAGCGAGACCCTGTCTCTACAATTTTTAAAAAATTAATTAATTTTTTAAAATTAGCTTTAGGTAGGGAATGTGTTTTCTTGCCTTTAATTTGTATATGATTAAAAAGCTTTATAGTTGAGTAGATTGGTCTGAGAAACATAATCCAGAAAGTGGTGATTATAGCTTGCTTTCATTTTTCTGCACCCCAGGGTTCCTTGGATATCACCCAGAGTATTGAAGATGACCCACTTCTGGATGCCCAGCTTCTCCCACATCACTCACTACAAGCTCACTTTAGACCCCAGTTCCATCCTCTTCCTACAGTCATCATAGTGAATCTTCTGTGGTTTATTCATGTAAGTTGGCTGGATGAAGGAGACCTATCCAGAGGTGATGTTTATAAAAAATATGTAAGTGTGGCCGGGTGCGGTGGCTCAAGCCTGTAATCCCAGCACTTTGGGAGGCCGAGGTGGGTGGATCACGAGGTCGAGAGATCGAGACCATCCTGGTCAACATGGTGAAACCCCATCTCTACTAAAAATACAAAAAACTAGCTGCACGTGGTGGCGCGTGCCTGTAATCCCAGCTACTTAGGAGGCTGAGGCAGGAGAATTGCCTGAGCCCAGGAGGCGGAGGTTGCGGTGAGCTGAGATTGCGCCATTGCACCCCAGCCTGCATAACAAGAGTGAAACTCCGTCTCAAAAAAAAAAAAATATGTGTTTCAGAGGGCAGTTGTGCTGTTTCTATCAACAATTAAAATGTAGGGCACACGGCTGGGCACGGTGGCTCACGCCTGTAATCCCAGCACTTTGGGAGGCTGAGGTAGTTGGATCACAAGGTCAGGAGATTGAGACCATCCTGGCCAGCATGGTGAAACTGTGTCTCTACTAAAATACTAAAAAAATTAACTGGGCCTGGTGGTGCACGCCTGTAGACCCAGCTACTCGGGAGGCTGAGGCAGGAGAATTGCTTGAACCTGGGAGGCAGAGGTTGGCAGTGAGCCAAGATCGCACCACTGCACTCGAGCCCTGGTGACAGAGCAAGACTCTGTCTCAAAAAAAAAAAAGCCCACCAGTAAAATGTAGGACAGATGTCCTTAGGATATCCTGATTGCTGTGTCATGGGCAAAAAAAAAGTACATACATTTTTACTTACATCTTCAAAGAATTCATTGTGGATATACTTGCACACATGTAAGAATATTGCTGATCATAGCAGTGTTGTCTGTCATATCAAGAGACTACAAACTACTTGCTATCCAGAGGACACTGTGTGCCCATTCACACTCAGCCCCTATTTGCAGTTTTTTGGTTTTTTTTGTTTTTTTTTTTTGAGACGGAGTTTCGCTCTCGTTACCCAGGCTGGAGTGCAATGGCTCGATCTCGGCTCACCGCAACCTCCGCCTCCTGGGTTCAGGCAATTCTCCTGCCTCAGCCTCCTGAGTAGCTGGGATCACAGGCACACGCCACCATGCCCAGCTAATTTTTTGTATTTTTAGTAGAGACGGGGTTTCACCATGTTGACCAGGATGGTCTCGATCTGTCGACCTCGTCATCCACACGCCTCGGCCTCCCAAAGTGCTGGGATTACAGGCTTGAGCCACCGCGCCCGGCTCCTTATTTGCAGTTTTTAAAAGGGAGTTGAGAGAGCTAGTGTGCACCTGTAGCCCTGTATATAGTAGAATATTTCTAAGGACAGGCTTGGTGGCTCACACCTGTAATCCCAGCACTTTGGGAGGCTGAGGCGGGAGGATCACCTGAGGTCTGGAGTTCAAGATCAGCCTGACCAACTTGAAGAAACCCCGTCTCTACTAAAAATACAAAACGTTAGCAGGGCATGGTGGCACATGCCTGTAATCCCATTATCTTCATTTGAACCTGGGAGGTGGAGGTTGTGGTGAGCCGAGATCACACTATTGCATTCCAGCCTGGGCAACGAGTGAAACTGTCACAATAATAATAATAATAATAAAATATTTCTAAAAGCATTCACAGACCTGGTTAACACTTATTGCCTCTGAAATGAGGACTGAGGGCCTTTGTGGAAGTGACACTAATATATTTTACTGTTTCCTTTTGAGTACTACTTGATTTTTTTTTTTTTTCTTTTGAGACAGAGTTTTGCTCTTGTTACCCAGGCTGGAGTGCAATGGCGCGATCTCGGCTCACCATAACCTCTGCCTCCTGGGTTCAGGCACTTCTCCTGCCTCAGCCTCCTGAGTAGCTGGGATTACAGGCATGCACCACCATGCCCAGCTAATTTTTTGTATTTTTAGTAGAGACAGGGTTTCACCATGTTGACCAGGATAGTCTCGATCTCTTGACCTCGTGATCCACTCGCCTCGGCCTCCCAAAGTGCTGGGATTACAGGCGTGAGCCACCGCGCCCGGCCCAAGTACTACTTGATCTTTTAATCATTTATATATATATATATTACTTTTTCGGTTACAAAAAAGATGCAGAAAAGTCTGTATATGGTAACACAGGAGTTTATCAATTTACTTACACCCAGGTAATAATGTTAAGAAGACAAATCAAGTTGCAGTGGAATACTATGTACAATTTTTATATGATGACAAGATTGCAAATATCTGGCATTTATAAAAACACATGTATGAAAGGTCTTATTGCAGTCCTCATTGGTGGTGACTCCGCTGCCAGCCAGTTTAATCACTTTCTCCATTTCGATTATTGTATATTTGGAAGAACTAGGGGTTATTGTTGTTGTCTGCTGCAGTGTGAAAAACCAAGGGGGCTCATTCTCACCACTCCTTGAGTATTCATGAGGACGGTGAATGGAGTTGATTGACTTGCTCAGCCTCCTACCGATAGGTTTGCCTATCTGCAGGGACCATATGCCCTAGCACATTTCCCGGGTTCCCCTGCAGCTGGGATTCCTCTCCGGTGAGGTATACTGTAGGTGATGAGTTTGGAACTGAATCACTGGGGAGAGAGGCGGTATCCCCTTTCCTTGAGGGAACTATAGCTGTGGCATGACTCCACCATGGCTTCCCAATCCCCAGATCTCAGCCGAAGCGCTTTCTTCCCGGTACCACCATGTGCAGGGGTGGCCTTGTGGTTTCCAGATGGTGGCCTTTTTTTCTTCTTTCCTTTGACTTTTTGTGTGACATACTCTGTCCCAGCCTGGGCACCATGGCAAGAACCCATCTCTATAAAAACTTTTTAAAAATTGGCCAGGTGTGGAGCCACGGATCTGTAGTCCCAGCTACTCTAGAGACTGAGGTAGGAAGATCGCTTGAGCCCAGGAGGTTGATGCTGCAGTGAGCTGAGATCACACCACTGCATGCACTCCATCCTAGGCAACAGGGCAAGACCGTATCTCACACAAAAAACAAAAGTACATTTAAACAAAACAAATCAAAAATACATTTAAAAACTCATTTATTAAAATAGGATAGTGGAAGCTATAGGTATAAGAGTCTATGCTAGGATAGTGGTTATTGCTTCCTACTTCCAAATATTGAACGTTAATCCTGCTGCTCTCCTTTCTCCCAGCTTGTGTTTGTTGTTTTAGCATTTTTGACAGGTGTGCTTTGTTCTTACCCTAATCCACATGAGGACAAATGCCCAGGAAATTACACAAACCCACTGAAAGTTCAGACGGTCATAATCCTTGGGAAAGTTATTTTGTGGATTCTCCATTTACTCCTTGAATGCTACATCCAGTACCACCACAGCAAAGTCAGAAACCGAGGCTATAACTTGATCTACCGATCGACAAGGCATCTCAAGAGACTTGCGCTGATGATACACTCCTCGGGTACGTCCAGTTTTCTCTCAGCTACATGGTTGCTTGAGGGACGAAAATGACAGAAGAAAGAATATATGAAGTTTGGTTGTAGAATCAAATGTATTCTTTCATTTTTGTGAGGGTGATGTGTGTTGTGACCACTAAAATTTGGATCACCTTAATGTTGTAAAGCTTTTCTTATGAAATATACAGCCTTAATTTTCATGTGAAATCTGTTATTTGTTATGAACATGGTATCCTCATATGCATATGTGAAATGTGGAACTATACCCTCTTTTGTTATCAGGTGATTTACACATCTCACAAAGATAGAAATGCTATTGCTATTTGATGTTTCTGAGGATAAGGAAAGGGAATTATTTTATTTTATATTATTTTTTCTGGGACAGAGCCTTGCTCTGTCACCCAGGCTGGGAGGCAGTGGCGCCATCATGGCTCACTGAAGCCTGGAACTCCTGTGCTAAGCAATCCTTCCACCTCAGCCTTCCAAGTAGCTGAGACTACAGATGCATACCACTGTACCCAGCTAATTTTTTTAAAAAAACTTTTATGTAGAAACAGGTTCTCACTGTGTTGCCCAGGCTGGTCACTTGAATCCTGGCCTCAAACAGTCCTCCTGCCTCAGGCTCGCAAAGCACTAGGATTACAGGTGTGAGCCAGTCCTGGTGAGAACTTTTTAAAAATGAAGCTCAGTGCTTTTCTTGTCGTAGGAGACAATAATGGTTAGTTCCTAGGAAAGAGGGACTGTTATGCAATGAGATACATTATATCAAACAGAAAACCTGAAAAACACACAGGCCCTAATATATGAAGGCAAGACCAGAAGATCCATATAGGACCTAGAATGCACAAGTACCTGCATTTCTTTATTGTTGCAGACATTTTAAAGATTTAGTGGACTTAAACTGAACTTCTTTAGGTAAATTTGGCATTAGGCTATAGTAAATGGCTAGGCACAGTGTCTTACACCTGTAATCCCAGCACTTTGGGAGGCTGGGGTGGGCAGATCCCATGAGGTCAGGAGTTTGAGATCAGCCTGGGCAACATGGTGAAACCACCTCTCTACTAAAAATATAAAAATTAACCAAGTGTGGTGGCGTGCCCCTGTGGTCCCAGCTACTCTGGAGGCTTAAGTGGGACGATTGCTTGAGCAGAGATGATGCCACTGTGCTCCAGACTTTAGCCTTGGTGACAGAGTGAGACCCCATCTCAAAAAAACAAAAAAGAAAGAAAAAGTTGTAGTAAATAACTTAGTATCAGTTTCTACCTTTTAGAAAGATCCTGTTTTTCAATTTGAGTCCAGAATCAATCTTTAAAAATTTAGAATCCAGGCCAAGCATGGTGGCTCACGCCTGTAATCCCAGCACTTTGGGAGGCCAAGACAGCAGGATCCCCTGAGGTCAGGAGTTTGAGACCAGCCTGGCCAACATGGTGAAATCCCATCTCTACTAAAAATAAAAACGAACGTTAGCCAAGTGTGGTGGTCCATGCCTGTAGTCCCCAGCTACTCGGGAGGCTGAGGCAGGATAATTGCTTAAACCTAGGAGGCAGAGGTTGCAGTGAGCTGAGGTCGTGCCACTGCATTCCAGCCTGGGCAACAAGAGTGAAACTCTGTCTCAAAAAAAAAAAAAAAAAATTGAATCCATATGTAGTCTTCCTACTTGGTGAGGGATGGGGCTTGGGGGAGGGCAAGAAAAAGAAAAAGAGAAAAAGAAAAAAATTTTTTTTGAATCCAGGCTGGGCACAATAGCTCTTGCACATATTCCCAGACCTTTGGGAGGCCAAGGTAGGAGGATCACTTAAGGCCAGGAGTTCGAAACTAGCCTGGGCAACATAGTGAGCCCCCATCCCATCTCTACCAAAAATGAGAAATTTAGTGCTGTAACAAATGAGCACCAATTTAAGTTTGAAAAAAAAAAAAAAAAAATTGGCTGGGTGCCATGGCTCACACCTTTAATCCCAGCACTTTGGGAAGCCAAGGCAGGTGGATCACCTGATGACAGGAGTTCGAGACCAGCCTGGCCAACATGATGAAACCCTGTCTCTACTAAAAATAAAAAAGTTAGTTGGGCGTGGTGGCAGGCGCCTATAATCCCAGCTACTTGAGAGGCTGAGGCAGGAGAATTGCTTGAACCCTGGAGGTGGAGGTGGAGGTTGCAGTGAGCCGAGAACGTACCATTGCACTCCAGCCTGGGTGACAAGAGCAAAAATCTGTCTAAAAAAAATAAATAAATAAGGCTGGGCATGGTGGCTCATGCCTATAATCCTAACACTCGTTGGCTAAGGTGGGTGGATCACTTGAGGTCAGGAGTTCGAGACCAGCCTGGCCAACATGATGAAACCCTGTCTCTACTAAAAATAAAAAAGTTAGTTGGGCGTGGTGGCAGGCGCCTATAATCCCAGCTACTTGAGAGGCTGAGGCAGGAGAATTGCTTGAACCCTGGAGGTGGAGGTGGAGGTTGCAGTGAGCCGAGAACGTACCATTGCACTCCAGCCTGGGTGACAAGAGCAAAAATCTGTCTAAAAAAAATAAATAAATAAGGCTGGGCATGGTGGCTCATGCCTATAATCCTAACACTCGTTGGCTAAGGTGGGTGGATCACTTGAGGTCAGGAGTTCGAGACAAGCCTGGCCAACATGGTGAAACCCTGTCTGTATGAAAAATTAAAAAATCGGCCGGGCGCGGTAGCTCATGCCTATAATCCCAGCACTTTGGGAGGCCGAGGCGGGTAGATCACGAGGTCAAGAGATCAAGACCATCCTGGTCAACATGGTGAAACACCGTCTCTACTAAAAATACAAAAATTAGCTGGGCATGGTGGTGAGTGCCTGTAGTCCCAGCTACTCGGGAGGCTGAAGCAGGAGAATTGCTTGAACCCAGGAGGTGGAGGTTGCGGTGAGCCAAGATCATGCCATTGCACTCCAGCCTGGGTAACAAGAGCGAAACTCCGTCTCAAAAAAAAAAAAGAGAGAAAGAAAAATATAAAAATCAGCCAGTCGTGGTGGGGGTAGGTGTCTGTAGTCCCAGCTACTCGGGAGGCTGAGAATCACTTGAACCCAGGCGGTGGAGGTTGCAGTGAGCAGAGAAAGTGCCACTATACTCCAGTCACTCCAATCTGGGTGACAGAATGAGATTCCATCTCAAAATAAATAAATAGATAAATAGACGAATAAAAATAAAACAAAATCAATAAATTAGCCAATAAATTAGCCATGTGTGGTGGCCTATGCCTGTAGTCCTAACTACTTGGGAGGCTGAGGTGGGAGGATCCACTGGAGCCTGGGTGTCCGAGCTATGATTATGCCCCGCACTCCAGCCTCGGTGAAAGAGTGACATGCCCCTCTGTAAAAAAAGAAAAAAAATTGAATCCAAATTAGAGACTTTTTTCCTCCAAAAAAATGCTCTACAGAATTTAATTTTTTTTTCTTCTCAGCAGGACAGAATTTAATTTTTTTTTTTCCTTCTGTTCTGTTAGTACATTTTCGTAAAGAGCAGGCTGCAAGTTCATTTACTCAGTGAAATTCTCAGTGGAGGCTGAAAGGCTATGCTGTAGCAGAGAGAAGTAGTTTATAGAGATGGGTGATCTTGCTGCTCTTGAAGGGGGAACGTTTATTGCTTTCTGTGTCTTTTGAGAATGAGCTTGAGAATGTTTAACTGTTGATATGCAGCACTCTCTTTTGGCCAGAAGATGTCAGAATAACACAAAAATTAAAAAAAAGAAAAAACTTGCTTTTAAACTACAACAGATCTTACATGATCTGTAGCCAAAATTATATTCAGTTTCTCAAGTGATGGTCTGGAAATAGCATTTTTGAAGCTCACAAAGAGATTGTCTGATCTTTAACCTTTCCAAAGTCTGCCTTTCAAATTCTTATTAAACATGTGAACCTTAACATGATCTATTTCTAAATACTTGGACCTTTAGAATCACAGGTGATATCATGTTTATGTGAAGACCCAGAAAATCAAATGGAATGGAGCAGGTATTTACCTTATTTCTTATTTCTGTTTTTTCTTTGTTTGTTTTTTTTTTTTTTTTTTTGAGACGGAGTTTCGCTCTTGTTACCCAGGCTGGAGTGCAATGGCGCGATCTCGGCTCACCGCAACCTCCGCCTCCTGGGTTCAGGCAATTCTCCTGCCTCAGCCTCCTAAGTAGCTCGGATTACAGGCATGTGCCACCATGCCCAGCTACTTTTTTTTTGTATTTTTAGTAGAGACGGGGTTTCACCATATTGACCAGGATGGTCTCGATCTCTTGACCTCGTGATCCACCCACCTCGGCCTCCCAAAGTGCTGCGATTACAGGCTTGAGCCACCGTGCCCGACTATTTCTGTTTTTAAAAATATTTTTTATTGGCCAGGTGCAGTGGTTCACACCTGCAATCCTAGCACTTTGGGAGGCCAAGGAAGGCAGATCATGAGGTCAGGAGATTGAGACCATCCTGGCTAATATGGTGAAACGCTGTCTTTACTAAAAATACAAAAAAATCAGCTGGGCGTGGTGGTGGGTGCCTGTAGTCCTAGCTATTTGGGAGGCTGAGGTAGGATTGAACCAGGGAGGCAGAGGTTACAGTGAGCCAAAATCGCACCACTGCACTCCAGCCTGGCTGACAGAGCAAGACTCCATCTAAAAATATATATATATTTCTTATTTGCAAAAAAAAAAAAAAAGACAAGGTAAGTCTATGGAGGTACAGGACTTACAAATAACAATACTGATAATATTAACTTCAGCCTGATACATTTCATTATTTTCTAGAGAAGAAAAAAATTATTTATTTTTGGATGAGGGTGGGAGAAAGGGCTTTGCTTTCCTACCAAGCAAAAATATTTGGCCGGCCTGGTGGCTCACACCTGTAATCCCAGCACTTTGGGAGGCCGAGGCAGGTGGATCACAAGGTCAAGAGATCGAGACCATCCTGGTCAACATGGTGAAATGCCGTCTCTACTAAAAATACAAAAAATTAGCTGGGCATGGTGGTGCACGCCTGTTGTCCCAGCTACTCGG